ATCTCGGCTCACTGCAACCTCCGCCTTTCAGGTTCAAGCAGTTCTTCTACCTCAGACTCCTGAGTAGCCAGGATTACAGGTACCCATTACCACTTTCGGCTAATTTTTGTGTTTAGTAGAGATAGGGTTTCTCCGTGTTGGTCAGCCTGGTCTCGAACCCCCGACCTCAGGTAATCCATCCACCTCAGCCTCCTAAAGTGCTGGGATTACAGGCGTGAGCCACTGCGCCTGGCCAATTTTTAAAATATTTTGTAGAGACAAGGTCTCACTGTGTTGCTCAGACTGGTTTTGAACTCCTGGACTCAAGCAATCCTCCCACCTTGGCCTCCCAAACTGCTGGGATTGTAGGAATAAACCACTGTGCTCAACCCATTCCCTTATTGGAAAGAGCCAACCGCTCCTTTTTTAGCAGATTGTTACTGTTTTAGAATGCTGGCACAGAATGACTACTCTTTCTATTTTTCAGGAGAAATTAGAAATTTAGATCATTGTGTTTCCTAATTGTTGGAAACTAGTTAAAAATATTGTTAAGTCTTTTTCAGACCAAACAAAATATGTCTGTGGACTGGATTCTGCCCAATGGCTACTGGATGATGACCCTTGATATACAAAATGGGCAGGACTTATGAGACTTAATCACTGCAGTTCTCTATGAGTAATCACACAGACTTTTTTTCTTTATCCTACTCTGCCAACTGTCACCTTTATAGTTTGGGTGCCCTGAGTGGCTAAAAGATGGGAGTGAGATAGAGAAGCTTTGTTTCATTTTTCATTTCCAAGCTGGCAGAAGGGACAGCTTTGGACAGCTTTGGACATATTAGTAGCTTACCTTGTAATTGGTTCTTGAGGTACTCTCAGAATCTCCACAGTGGTAGGATATGGCATGGCAGAGCTGAGGTACACGGGTCACCTGATGATCAGGTCTGGGAGGATTTTCCAGTGATGCCCTGTCATGGCACCAGCTTGTTTCCCAGTTTAACTTTTTACTTCCACCCTTTTAGTAAATTTCTTGAGCTTAATAAGTTGTTCACTAGTTTAGTAATTTTGGGTATTCTCAGTAAATCACAGAACCGTGGGGTGTTCCTAGGCCAGCTCTAGAAATGTTAAAAGCTCTACATTTTTAGTGTTTCTCTGGCTTTTAAAGGGATTGAGTAAACTTAAACCTTAGAAGGGCCTATTACTGGTCCTTCAGCTCTCAACTACCATCTACCTTTTCAGGAAGTCCATCAGTTTTCTTGGTTTGCACAGCTTTGTAATAGACACAAAGCCATCATGAAAAACAAAAACTTGCGTTTTTGCCTTTGGAGAATTTATTTGCTAATTGGATAAGGACAATTTTTTTTTTTTTTTTTTTTTCAGACAGAGTCTCTCTCTGCCACCCAAGCTGGAGTACAGTGATGTGAGATCTTGGCTCATTGTAACCTTTGCCTCTTAGGCTCAAGTGATCCTCCCATCTCA